TGTTGCTATAAGGGATATTAAATGAGGCAGTTGGACCCGTCAGTGTGATAGTCCTCCTGCATTACTCTATTTGTTTAACAAGTAGTCCATACAAGTTGGCATGTTGATGTTGCCGTGTTGGGGTTGGTGCATGAAGCTTCGAAATTGTTCAATAAATAAAATATATATAGGTTTTTTTGTTTTTTTTTTTGTTTGAGCCAATAACAATTGCTCTTCAACTTGCAGAAAGTGCAAACGTTGTTGGGCATCCATATAAGCTAATATTATAAAGACTAAATCTCTATAAACTAAATTTTGTACAAAAACACACATAATATTTCAAACTCAGGACCTCCTCTTTAATTTTAAACAACATAAACCACAAATTTTGGTTAAACTTCTTATCCATTTGACCAAATTTTATAAATTTATACTTTATGAAAAAAAAATATATATAATAATTAGAAAGTAAATAAGGAAACATACTACTTCAAATACAAGACCTCCTTATTAATTTAAGTAACAAAATCCACCAGTTCTACTTAAGCTTCTTGAGTATTTTCCAAAATTTATAAATTTATATATTTATGAAAACATATATGAATATACCATCCTAATAGTTTTGGTGACCCCAATTGTTTTGGACCCTGAACGATCGCCCAACCCACATTGGGCCTGAGCTTGCTCTGACCACGTGTCACAATACAAATGGTGAGATAATTGTGTTACCCGTGTTCTGAGCACAATGAAAAATTTCTCCCAAAACTCGAACTTAATAATCCTTTTTTGTAAACGTTTCGGATTTATAAAATCCATATTCATCTTGAAATATTAATTGAAAAGAAACATCAGTTTAATGTTGTCATCAAATGTTACCCAAATTTAGTACTACTCAACCTTCCTTGTCTAATTTCTTTTCAAATTGAAACCTTTGGAACTAAATTTGTGAGTTTCAACTATAAGCTTAATTAACGTGCTAAATAATTTAGTGTTCAAGCTTTGAGACGGTTCTACAATTAATTGACCAGCACTTCGTTC